GCAAAGATGAAGGGGAAGGTGATGATGGCGTAGGGTGCTGCAGGGGCACAGGGACCATGTCACAAGACACCTCGCCACAAACACCCCCCAGCCCTGGACTGTGGCGAGGGCTGCGGAGGGGGACCTTACCAGGGTTCACCTCCTGGTAGCTGGCCACTCCGTAAGCGTCCACAATGCTCTGGAAGCCGGCGGGGAACTTGTTGGTGCGGATGAGGGTGGGGGGGCTCTCCGAGGTGGGGACGCGCTGCACGAAGCACTCCACGCTCGAGCCGCTCTGGTACTGCAGAGAAAACACTCGGCGCCTGAGCCACCGCATCCTCCTGCCTGGCACCTGCCTGCCCTACCATGGCAGGAGGGCACAGGGACACCAAGTGATCTCTGGCACGAGGACATCGGGATGCCGAGCAAACCCCAGCACGAGGACATGCGGACACCAAGCAACTCCTGGTAGAAGGACATGGAGACACCAAGTAACCCCTGGTACAAGGACATCGGGACACCAAGCAACCCCTAGCACAGGGACATGAAGACACCAAGCAACCCCTGGCATGAGGACATGGGGACACCAAGCAATCCCTAGTAGGAGGACATGGGGATACCAGGCAACCCACCGATCCCTGGCGCAGGGCATCCTGCACTTGGGTGAGGTCCCGCACGGGGCACCAGACCTCAGCGATGAGGCACTTCTCAGTAACATCGAAGCTGCACTGGTTGAGGATGAGGTAGACAGCCTTCATCTTCTGCACCTGCACCCGCCAGGTGGGCAGCGCCAGCACCACCTTGTCCAGCACCTGAGCTAGGTACTGCTCCGTCTCCTCCAGCACCTGCGGGCACCCGGCAGCATGTCAGGGACAGGGGGGTCCTAGCGTGGTGTCCTCCTACCCCCCAGTCCCTCCTACAGTGCCCAGCTCACCACGCTGAGGTCCTGGATCTGGCTGTTCAACTCACTCATGGTGTCTGCCCGGCTGGCCTCACTCTCCGGGTAGGGGTACACGTGGCAGTGGAAGCTGGGACAGACGGACACCGCTGTGTTGGGGGGTGCCAGGGCTCCCCAAGGTGGTTCAGCCTGTCCCTGGGGATGCTGGAGTGGGTCTTGCTAAATAAAGCTCTGCGCGGCCAGATGCGTGGCCGCTGGCTCACCAGTCTGAGATCTTGCGGATCTTCTGCCCGATCTGCTCGCCCCAGTAGGAGATGACGAAGATGACCCAGGTGATGCTCTCACCCTGGGGACAACACAGCCCACGTCAGCCCCAGCCCCCTCTTCCCTGACAGCCCCCCACCCTGGTGCCCCACTCACCGTGGCCGGGTCCTCCATGGGCTCAGGCATCTCCACGAAGCTGGCCACCAGGTAGCCGCGGCAGGCACGCCACAGCAGCCGCTCAAAGGCGCTCACCCGCCATGGGTGAATGACGCCAGCCACGAAGCTGTGGGGACGTGGCAGGGGTGCTGGGACAGACACGGCTCCACTGCTGCCCCTGCCCCATGGCCAGGCCCCTGCCCCATGGCTCCTCCCCAGACCTCATCCTACAGCCATGCCCCAGGGCTGTGCCACTGCCCAGTAGGCCATCTCCAACCCTAATCTCACAGCATTCTCAGTTGCCCAAGGCCATGTCATTGTCCCATGGCCCATCTCCAACCCCTATCCTATGGTGATGCCCATATAACCCATAGCCAAGCCACTGTCCCACAGCTCATCTCCAATTCTCACCCTGTACCCTTACCCACCATCCGTGCCCCATCACCATCCTGTTTCCCCATGGCCCATCTCCAAACCTTATCCTATGGTGATGCCCATATACCCCATGGCCATGCCACTGCCCCACGGCACATCTCCAACTCTTACCCTATACCTTTACCCACTGTCCCTGCCCCATGGCCATCCTGTTGCCCCATGGTCCATCTCCAACCCTTACCATACAGCCTTACTCATGATTCCTGCCCCACGACCATACTGTTGCCCCAAGGCCCATCTCCAACCATTATCCCACATCTTTCCCAGCTGCCCCATGGCCATCCCATTGACCCATGGCCCATCTCCAATCCTTATCCTACAGCCTTCCCAGCTGCCCCATGGCCACGTCACTGCTCACGGCCCCTCTTCAACCCCCGCCCCACACACCAGCCCCTTACTTGATCTTGCGGTCAAGGTGCTGGTGCAGGGAGGGATCGAGGATGGGCTCACGCTCAGAGAGCACCCGGGGCCGTGGCGGGGAGCCCAAGGGGGCCTGTGGTGACGGGGAGCAAAGAGATGAGGCTCTGGATGACGGGTGGGAGAGAAGTGGGGTACAGGGCCGCCCCGTGGACCCACCGGCAGGCTGGTGAAGCGCTGGCTCTCGTGCAGGACATGGAGGTAGCGGCGCAGCTCCCGCAGGCGCTCGCGCAGGGAAGCGTGGTTGCGGCTGACCTCCCGCAGCTCCTGTGCCAGCTGCTCTGACTGCTCCTGCACCCG